CTGGACCAGCGCAGCACGCCAGAAATTGTGTTTGCGCATGTCTGCAACGCTGGAAATCGCTTCTGCGCATGCCCAGATGCCGAAAATCACACCTGCGCAAAAAACGATTTTTTGCATCCGGGCATGCGCAGTCGCAATTTCTGGCATCTGGACATGCACAGAAGTGATTTCCGGAGCTGCAGAAGAGAGTCACCATGGCGGTTTAGCGCAGCGCATGGGGACTCACCAAGCAGGCAGCTCGGTTCAGGGGCAGCTCATGGGCTGGTTAAGCGACCCTCATGGGCTGCTTCCGGCCATTGGGCCTTAGGTTGCTGACATCTGGGCTATGCTCTGTGGAACACAGAGCTCTGAAATTGCTCTGGCAAGGAAAAAGCGGAAACCAAGTTCTTATATAGTAATAGCAGCAGCAGGTGCAGCCTAATTGTTCGCACCACCTGTGCTGCAAGATGCTGTTCTTCTGCTGGAACTCACCATGAACATCTCTTAGAATGGCATTGGTACCCACTGGAGGTGCCAGAACTGAGTTCCGGCTGGAAAAAAATGGCCTGCTGTAAATCGTCCTGTGATCTTCATATGAAGGGTGATAGATAAAATAAATAAACAAATCCAGCAGGGCTCTTCTTATGTTCTTTTCACCATCCCCTAGAAATACTGCTCCCATCTTTGAGCCTTACCTAACTGGCCCAAATGGGAGGACAGAGCATCCAGAAGCCACACTTATAGGGTTGCCCCACCTGAAAAGATATAGTCCTTATTTTCACAGTAGGGGTGGGACATTGCCTCTAATTTCATGAAGGGGGCGGATATCAAATGTAGGGGAACACTATGTTAAGGGTTACTTCTTAGCAATTGGGGGAAAAAAGAGAAAGAATCAGGATGGTCTCTTGTACCGATTCCAGCGTAATTAAGAGGAAAATGAGTGCTGGCTTAATTGCGATTAGGCGATTAAAAAGACAGAAAACACCATGTTCCTCATCAACCAAGCTCCGCAATGCATATGCATAGCAAATGATTACATGTCTGTCTTTCTCCCCCCCCCCAACAGAACAATATATTAAAGGGGAGGGAAAAATGGGCTGCATGTAATTTTAAAAGGAGCCAATTTACCCCGGCATACAGTTTGCGGCTCTGTCACTCGTTAATCACTCTGTTAAACATAATAGCCATTCTTGTCTCGAGGCCGTTAATCATGTTGTGAATGCACTTATCAGTGCGTATTAGAAATACAATACAAGACTTTCCGACACAGGGATGGATGCAATTACTGCAATCAGGGTACATTTAGCTATTGTCTTATCATGCTGTGGTGGTGGTTTTTCAGCCCTTAGAAAAAGGAAGGGGGGGGGGACCTAACCCTGCACACAAAGAATTTAAATAGGAAGGGGAACGCTCCACAATGCCTGTTAGCACAATGAAATTGCTGACCTTCCTGTGGGGACTTCGGACAGCAGGGCTGGGGAGGGGAGGGCATGGGCTGAGTTTGGTTAAACAGAAGGCAGGAGTGCACATCGGAAGGGCAGGACTCTTCATGGCTTGCAGAAAGCACCGGCTGGGTGGGAGGGGCCATGGCTCAGTGGCAGAGGACCTGCTTTGCATTCTAGGGGTCGCTGGTTCAATCCCTGGTATCATCTGCAATAGAAACTAGGAAAGACCTCTGGTTTTGTATAAGGGTCATGGACTGGCTTGATGCAGAAGAGTGGTGGGAGGCTGTGGCGATCACACAGGGTCCCCGGACGTTTGACGGTCTATTGAACCCTGTGCCACCACTGCTCGCTTCCCTGCTGCCACCAACCTGTTACTCTCGGGTACACACTGAGTCCAGACAGTTATTAAAATTGAACCAAATAAACAAGTTTGTTTTATAAGCGTTAACAAGTTTATGGTTTCTCAGATAATACAGTGGTACCTCGGCTTACATACGCTTCAGGTTACATACGCTTCAGGTTACAGACTCCGCTAACTGAGAAATAGTGCTTCAGGTTAAGAACTTTGCTTCAGGATGAGAACAGAAATTGTGCTTCAGTGGCGCAGCAGCAGTGGGAGGCCCCATTAGCTAAAGTGCTGCTTCAGGTTAAGAACAGTTTCAGGTTAAGTACGGACCTCCGGAACGAATTAAGTACTTAACCTGAGGTACCACTGTATTCTTGTCAGTTTCTTAACTTTAGTTTCTTTACCAGCCTACACTTTCCTAATACCTTCTGAATGATTATATCAACTGTTTGCCTGACTCCTCTTAACAGATTCTCTCACATCAGACTAGCCCAACCCACAGACTTATCCTCTCTCTCTCTTCTCTAACTCTAGACTGATTTCTTAACAACTCTAACTCCTCCCCTTGGGTTCCTATTGGTTAGTCATTTTACAATTAGTTAACCCTTTCCTTATGAACCCAGTGTGATGTCACACACCTAGGAGGGCAAACGCCACAGAGGCACCAGCTGAGAAACCCCCAATGGAACCCCCAGGGGAAGAAGGCTCAGAGCCAGGGGTGTGTGTGCTGGGATGACGATGCCTGGGCAGAGGGAGAAGAGGGAGCAGGCTGAGAGGAGGGGCCTCTGGAGAGGATGGGAAGCAGGCCGCTGAAGAAGCCAGGGTGTCTTCCCCTCCTGCTGCGACCAGTTCACTGCCCCCTGGTCTCCTAGAACACGCAGCGAAGTGAAGAGGGCAGAGCAAAGAGAGACAAGATGAAGGAGCCTTAGGCTGCTCAGGAAGGACCCAGGAGAGGAGTCTTATAGAGCGGTGGAAAGGTGGGGATCTTCAGTCCTCGTAACTGCCTCATTAGTTCAAGGGTTGCAGTGGTCACTAGGCCTGAGCTGCTTTGGTTTCTTTGAATAAAGGTTTAACTTCACTGACACCAGGTGTTTTATTGCTGACCTGCTCCTGACTCCAGCTCCTGACAATAAGGCATTCTAAATCCATGCCTGCTGCTGACATTGCAGGATTTCCCTGCTACCAACTAAATTGCTGAGGCTTCCATTAATGTGGAAGAACTGCAGATCAGTGGGAGAGGATCTGCTTACATTCAGGGGGAGGGTCCCAGGTTCAATCCTGGCACCTCCAGGTAGGTCTGCGAATGTCTCCTATCTGAAACCCTCTGGAGTCATTGCCGATCACAGGAGACCATACTGAGCTAGATGGACCCAAGGGTCTCAGCATGAGTCAGCTTCCTGTGCTTGTCTTTGGAGTCTGTGTTTGGGCTGAGTTTGGGGGCTTGCTTGGTCCAAAGAGCAGGTGCCGTGGCAAGCCTGCCTTGGCCTGCTTCAGTTGGCTCCTCTGTGCAAAACAAACTTGTGAAAAAATGCACACACATAGAAAACTAGGGGCCTGGGGGAAGGGTCTAGCCTAACGCTATCAGATTTTTTTTCAAAGAATCCGGGGACCCCCCCTTTTTTTTTGAAAAGAGAAAAAAAAGTTATTAAAACAAGTTGTTGTTTTTTTAAAAAAATAAGAAATAATATCTTTTCTGTGGTCTCTGTTGTGCAGCCTTCCTCTGGGCCCTGGCCTCCTCTCTTGGAGCACTAGCCGCCGTGGAGTAGGTTCAGGTCGGGCCTGGGCTCAGCCATGTATCCTTGCACTCCCGGTGCTCTCCTACCTCTCCTTCACAGCGGTGGCGGTAGTGGCGTGGCAAGGTTGGGGCTCCCCTCTTTTTTCTCCTTCCTCTTTCTATTTCTTCCTTCTACTCTCCTCCTTCTCCCGGCATCGGCTCTGGGGTTTTCCTGGTCCTGGAACGCTGCTGGGCAGTTGGCCAGGTGGCTGGGCGCTCTCACTCCCGGCTTGATTTGGGTCGCGGGGTGTTTGTGTGTGTGTGAGCAGTTCCCCCAGTTGACACGCTGGGCGTCCCCGTTTCCCCCTTAGCAGTGGTGGTGGCAGCAGCAGCGGCAGTCTCAATAGCCCAGAGCCAGCTTGATAGCACAGTTGGCCCTGGCTGGCTTCCGGAGCTGCTCGCTGCTGTGGCGCCTGCCATTTTGCCTCACTGGAAGTCCCCATATGATGTGTCTTGTGCCGTTGAACCAATCACGCAACATTCATTCCCTACTAATAAATCTACAACACTTAAAATCTAAATCCGGGGACATTCCGGGGACAGATTTTGTACGGGGACAGATTTGTAAATCCGGGGACTGTCCCCGGGAAACGGGGACATCTTGTAACCATAGTCTAGTCTAGCCTTCTTCATGTTCATGCTCAGCTTCTACACACAAGGGGTTTTTGTTCCATCTCAGCCTGAAGTGGTATGAATGAGAAATAGGTCTCCCACCCCATCCACTATGTGAGAACTAGGACTTGGTTTGTGGGGCTATAAAAGGGGTGGGGTTAAATGGGTTTGGTTAGACACAGTGTTTCTCAAACTTGGGTCCCCTGCTGTTGTTGGACTACAACTCCCACCATCCCTGACCACTGTTCCTGCTAGCTAGGGATGATGGGAGTTGTAGTCCATCAATGGCTGGGGATCCAAGTCTGAGAAACGCTGGGGGCAGTAAGACAACATCTGTAGGCAATAGGCATTTTCTTCCTTACACCACTGAGGCAGCTCCAGTCTACTCCCTCTTCTCTGCTGTACATGTCATCACATGTACCTAGAGCAGGGGCAAATCAGCCACTGTACTCTAGAGGAGATTTCTTTCAGCCTGAGAGCCCCATTCCCCTGTGGGGGAGCCTTGTGGGGTCACATGCCAGTGGTGTGCGAGGCCATGTAGGTCTCAAAGCAGTGGTACAGCAATAAAATAGCAAGGCCAGATAGAGATACCTGGAGTCCTCTGTTTTGCCTCCTATGCCTGAGGTTCCCTAGCACTACTCTAATCTTTTATTAAGGAAAAGCATGATAACTCAGTGGTTGATCACCTACTTTAAATGAAGAGGAGTCCAGCTTTGATCCCAGGCATCTCTAGATAGGGCTGGGAAGGATAATACTGTATTAGATGGAGCAATTGTCCGATTCCTTATAAGCACCTTCCAGTGCTCCTATTTATTATATTTTAACTTGGGTATTTATTTGGGGAGGAGCTGTAGCTTGATGGGAAAGCATCTGCTTTGCATGCAGAATGTCTGAGGTTCAATCCTTGGCATCTCTGTGTAGGGCTGGGAAAAGCTCCTGTCCCAAACCTCAGGAGTAGCTGCCAGCCAGTGTGGGTAATGTGGAGCTAGGGGGACCACTGAGGCTCATAGAATGCTCAGAAATGCTATACGGTTGCCTATTGTTGTTTATATTCTTCTTCTTTATTATCTGAGGAGTTCCCCACTTAAGCTTTCTGCTCCAGCACGACACCTACTGTACTGTATCTGCTAACAAGATATAGTTAACATTATGAGTTGCTAGTACTGTTAAAGAAACCCTAAAACTTTATTAACCATTTAAAATTCGGCCACAATTTTTAATGCCAAACTTTTTTTTTTTTTAAATTCCTTTTAGTAAAAGAAAGCCATTGATATGATTTCTCTCTCAGTGTTGGCTGTCCCTGACCTCATGCTTTCTTTCTAATTGGATCATTTATTAGATTTCCCAAGCAAGCTCCTATTCAGGACTTTCTCTCTCTTAAAAAAAAGTCCTAAATTGTAGCAAGGAAACAGAAAAGCCTGCTTTCATTTAAATGTTCTTAGAAGCAGCATTTCTGTGTAAAAGTAGACCGGGGGTGGGGTGGGTGGTTGGGGAGGGGGTGGGAGATTTGGATTCCAAAAAATTCTACTGTGAAAAGTCTTTTGTTAATAGGAACAAATTAATCCATTTATTATCGCTGAGCAGAAACTACTTGCCCCATTTTGTGGGTGATATCTGATGTTCCACCCAAGCATATACAATGTTAGTAATATTCATAGTTAGACACTTTGAGTTCAATAGTGTTAAATAACTTGAGTTCATGGGTCTAACCCAAGTATGACTAAGACTGCAATCCTTACCCCTCTTCCTGGAAGTAACCTCCACTGAATTCAGTGGGATTGCCTTCTGAGTAGACACAGTTTGCTGGCTATCAGACTATATTTTTGAGGTTGTGTAAAGCAGGGTAGGAAGCCTGTGATCCTCCAGATGTAGTTGGACTACAACTCCCATAATTCCTGGTTATTGCTCGGGCTGCCTGGGGCTGATGCAAGTTGGAGTCCAATAACATGTTCCCCACCAATGGCATTAAGTGTCTCTTGTTTGGCACTATTTTTGGCATTCCTGAACACATTTGCATAATTTGGTGGCTGTTTTTGGCACCCACCAACTCCTTCACCTTTGTAGTCCTTGGCTCTCTTTCCCCACCCTGTCTTGTAATCCTATTGGCTGCGGCTCCCTACATGACATTTGTCCATGATATCACTGCACTATATGTGACAGAATCTTGCGATGGTCAGTCATAATCATATGGCTCACCACAGCCAATTGGGTTAAAATGAGCTACGTGGGCAAATCAAGAGCCAGTGTGGTTTGGTGAAGCTCACTGGGTGACCTTGGACCAGTCACTGCCTCTTAGCCTAACCTACCCCACATGACTGTTGTGGGGATTAAACGAAGATGGGGAGAACCACGTATGCCAATTCAGAGCTCCTTGGAAAAATAAGTGGATACATATGCAATTTTTAAAACGATAGGGCTGAAGGCAGTGAGCGTGAAGATGGAAGAATGTACCATTGAAATGAAGGATAATGAAAGGACACCCAGCAGGGTCAAAAGAAGGGATTTTATCCAGATAAATTCTAGTCAGAGTAGACCCACAGAAATCAATAGACCTAAGTTATTCTTCTCTACTCTGAGTAGCTCTAGCATTGGATACAATGCATAGGAAATATTTGGCAACATGGGTTTCCCCACCTCCCATCATCAGCAACAAATGTTCTCCCTCCCAAGCATCATCAAACACAGCCCCAGGAGCTACACCAGGATGAATCTGGTCCCTGTGTATCCTTCTTAAGAGAAACGCTTGCTCAAACAGTATCCAAGGCCTCTTTGGCACCAAGAACAGACTTCCCTGTGCTGGAAGAAGGAAATAAAAATAATTGAAGCAATTGTCTTAGTTGTCTCCCGGGTTGTCACAATGATGTGGATAAAATCAAATAAACGGGAAGTTATTGTGAGTTGTTAGCAGGAGAAACAGTTGTGAATTGGCAGAGCAAACCAACCCAGGCGCTTAAGATGTTTTCTCATTATCCGGATTTATTGTTTTCAGGAGCAGAGCAAGGGGGGAAAAAAAAGTTGGCTAAGCAAAAATAAGGTGAATAATGCCTGGTCTGGGGGATGTTTAGTTTGGAACAAAAATACCAATTTTAGTGTGTGTTTTTGCTGTGGTACAGCTGGGAATTGTGGCGTCACTTTGCCTCTTAGCTGCGGTGGATTATGCTCCCGCATAAAGAACGTTGAGCACTCAGCACTGGAAGTGCTGGAAGGGACATGGAAGGGACATAACATGATGAAGAAGATAAAAGTACGAACCATCCATGTATTTTCAAAAACCCTTCAAAAACTCCCTGTTGGTAACCTCTGTTCCTTCCATCTGTCATGACCCACAACTAAGGAACCTTGCAGTGTGTGGTGGTAGTTTGAAAGTCCAGGCTGCTTCCTTGTGATTATCTGTCATTACCTTTTGTGAGGGGCCTTTAGCCAGTAGACGCATTGCCTGCACATGCTCGGACTCAGAGCATCCATCCCCTTAACTCCATAACTTAACATCTCCATAACTGCACAGAAGTCAAAGGCTGAAAAATAAGGGGAGGGCCACTTAGCCACCTTGCCAGTTTCTACAAGGGGGTGGAGTCTACCACACTCCAAGGTTTCAGATGTCTCTTGCTCCCTACTGAGACAATAAAGGTAAAGGTAAAGGTACCCCTGACTGTTTGGTCCAGTTGCAGATGACTCTAGGGTTGCGTGCTCATCTCGCTCTATAGGCCGAGGGAGCTGGCATTTGTCTGCAGACAGCTTCCGGGTCATGTGGCCAGCATTTGGCAAACCAGAGCAGCGCACGGAAACTCCATTCACCTTCCTGCCAGAGCGGTACCTATTTATCTACTTGCACTTTGACGTGCTTTTGAACTGCTAGGTTGGCAGGAGCAGGGACCGAGCAACGGGAGCTCACCTTGTCAGGGGGCTTCAAACTGCCGACCTTCTGATCGGCAAGCCCTAAGCTCTGTGGTTTAGACCGCAGCGCTACCTGCGTCCCTACTGAGACAATACCTTCCTGCAAAGAAGCCAGCGAGGCCTTCTTGGTGCTGTCTAAGGTCCTATTCTTATCTGAACACTACAGTTGTATATTGGTTCTGGAACACCTTGTGACTCAAGTGTTTTGGCTCCTGAACGCAGCAAACCTGGAAGTGAGTATTCCGGTTTGTGAATGTTCTTTGGAGCTTGAACATCTGACGTGGCTTCTGCAGCTTCCGAATGACTGCAGGAGCTTCCTACAGCCAATCAGAAGCTGTGCCTTGGTTTCTGAACGTTTTGGAAGTCGAATGGACTTCCGGAATGGATTCTGTTCGATTTCCACGGTACCACTGTACTTTGTGTTTTGCTCACTGGACACTGCCTATTTTCCCTAGGAGCCTCAAGTGCTTATGAATGCTGCCTATTCTTTTCATAAAACTATAAGTAACGATCCAGTGGATCACCAGCTGCTGACAGGGTGCCCTTTGCAGTGGATGTTGGTTGGTGGCTGATTCCCCCCCACCCAGCCAAAAGCCTGCATCAGAGCATTATTTGGGGAGGAAGTGGCAGCCTCCAGGCACTGAGATGAGCACATTGTTGGGCATGGTGACGGTGAAACTGCATTTTGCCCCCAGCTGAGTTCTGCACCCTGAAACTGGACAGAGGAAAATTGGTGTGCTTTGGACCTTTCTTGGATTTGGTCAGCGGTTCTCCTTTGAGAATGCAGTACTAACAACTAGCACAGTCAGAAACCTTGAATGCCCCCAGCTCCCTGTAACATATTCATTTCTTTTGCTGCTGTTTCAAAGCCTTTGTGACCTTCAGCTCTTGAATATACAGCCTTGTAGATTTGCTGTTCTTTTCATAAGCTGCCAACTGCTATTTGGCAGATTTGCAGTTGACATCTTTGTCAGATACCTCTCCATGCCTCTCACTTCTTTTGTTTATTAAAGGTAAATATTAACGAGGCAGGTCTTGCTCACGTTCAGCATAATGCTTGTAAAATAACACTCCTTTGGTGTTAATCATCATAACAATTTAAAACCAATATTGCCTCTGAAACAAAAGTAGCTTGCTGACATACATGGTGCAGTGATACCTGATAGTTGTTTTTCCCCTTCAGTGCCTTAGATCTCAACTGTGCAAGATTATTGTGGGTAAATTAGAGGCTGGTCAAATTAAAAGCAGAGTCCTACAGTCGGAATAAACATGCAAGGCGTGCAGTTCTGATGGGACTGTACCGCTACAGAGGGTTGCATATATGAATGCTCTTTCATTTAAAAACTCCCATAGCTTAGACAACTAGAATTTAAGGGGAGAAAGGTATTGTCACTATCCAGCTCAACCTTTTCCTGAAGTGCTAGTTTCTTATAGTTTGTCTTAATTTACTCTGAGCAAATTATTGGTTTTTGTGTTTTTTTAAAAAGCAATATCACATCTTCAACTTCTCTGCTCCTGTTTTAGTCTCCTCTGGAAGTTTCAAGCTCTACTCTTTGTTCACCCTAGAGCATTTGAAAAGCATCTGCCCCACAAAAGAGGACAGTGCCCAGCAGGTGATATTGGAGCAATACTATTAGCTCCAGCCAATAGTCAGGGATGATGGGGGTTGTAGCCCAATCATATCTGGAGACCACCAAGTTGGCTACCCCTTTCTACCCTCTCTTCCCAGTTCTTAATTCTGAAGGAAGGGCTACTGTTTTTGTCTCAGGCATTCACCTAGTCCAGAGAAGATCTTCAACCTCTTTTAAAGCCAAGGGGAACAAGTAGTTTTCCTCTGAGGATGCAGAGTTTCAGACACCCACTTTGCCTTTGGACTGCATGACCTTGCAGTGGCCTTCAGATCATTGCTGGAGCAACATCCCAAGCTCTCTGCATGTGGATTTGCCTCTCATCTAGATCAGTGTTTCCCAACCTTGTTTTGACTGTGACCCCCTTTTGACTTTGCTTCCTTCCTGTGGCTCC